GGATTTGCAGAATTTGGGAAGTGGGTGTGTGTGCGTGCGTGCGTGCGTGCGTGCGTGCGTGCGTGCGTGCGTGCGTGTGTGCGTGCGCGCGCGCATGTGTGTCTTCGTGTATATGCCTGCGTGTGTGCGCCACCGTACGTGCGTCCGGGTGAATTTGCTCATGTTTATCTATAGCGTCTAATAGATGTTCTGGTCAACATGCATCGTCGCTCACCTGCGCGATGATTTCGCCTATTAACCCGTTCCACGAACCGTTGGCCAGTCGGCTGCCGTATTTGCTATCAGGCACGAGTGACAGCTTGTACTCAAACCCTGTAATAATGAACATATCACTAACGCCATGCGTTCACGTAATGGGTGCTCATGCACGCAGTAAATACATTTGTACAAAATGATACTATGTTAATGATTATAATATGGCAATCATACTGAAATATACTAATATAAATAAGAAGAAAGAAGTTGGCTACGCGCCACAATCTCTCTCCTTACTGCTTGACTATCAGTCTACATTTTTCATTTAATTTTGTTGCAAAAGCAAATTAAAATTGCAAAGGCTAGAGCTGTCAAATTTATCTAATAATTATAAATGCTCCCTAAGTGAGAGCTGTATGTAACTGTTGCAGTATTCCTTAGTCCTGATCGACCAAAAATCACTTTGCTTCTAAAGATTCCTGTTATTGCCATAGCATAGCAACACATGATACACTATAAAGCGTTGCGGGTTACTAAACTAATTATGTGCCAATGAGCGGTGACTCGATGGTCAGGAGGCATAGATGTAACTTTCCGGGACTTGAATTTGAGCTCAGACGCATGAAAGATTTCTGCTCGTCTCTGTCACTACAGCGTACCATAGGAACCCTCACTGCGGAATTCTGAGTGCTAACCATAACGCCAATGCTGCACCCAACGTCCACCCTGTACAGCAGATTTACAATGGACGATAGCATTCTGTCCTCTATCGACTAAATATAAACATGGGCACTTTGATAGTTTCTTTCCGTTGTGCTTGCACATGTTACTAGTGTTGCTGCACGAGTACCCAAAATGTTCTCTATTGGTTTCGAGATATTTCCACATTCCTGGCGATTTCTAAAAACTACCAGGCGACCTGGAAACAGAGAGAGCGATTTCTGTTGACACCGAGATATTGTCTCTAGAACACCGCTTTACGGGACAGGTATAATAAATTGCAATGGCAGCATCAATGTAGCGTATACAATCGTCACTACTACCGAGATTTCGTGACAGATCATCAAGCACGTCTTTAATGTGTCCTGAAAACTGTGCGTTTGTCGGTTCGCCGGTCCCCGGCGTGTTCTTGCAGTACATGAACGGCGCCTCCTGTAAAAGGGAGAGACGCACTCATGACGCATCCTGTCGCACCAATGAACAGCGATTCTACGTGTGCTCACCAAGTTGTCGGTGTAAAACAATAATAACAACAACAACTATAATAATAATAACAACAAAATCATCATTAATAATAATATTAATAATAATAATAATAAGTTACCAACATCGGAGATACTACCATAATGTGGGATATGGCAGATCGCACGATACCTGCAAACCGCCCTGATATAGTGCTCCACAACAAGAAAGAAAAACGATGCCTGCTGATTGACGTAGCCGTACCAGATGATACTAACATCATGGTGAAGGAAAGAGAGACAAACACACCAAGTACACCAAGATCTGGAGATCGAAATTAGGAGGATGTGGAATACTAAGACGAGAATTGTGCCAGTGGTGGTTGGAGCCCTTGGCTCTATAAAGAATGGCTTTGAGAAGAGCCTTAAGGAACTTCTTAGCCACCACACTGCCCAAGAAGTGCAGAAAATCGCACTACTGGAAACAGCACACACCCTGCGAAAAAATTTTGGATTGAATCTCTATGTGCCAGGTTGGGACACTGTCAACCCAGAAGCCACCGGCTAATGCCGTGATT